TGCTTTGCCCTGCTAAAATAAATATGTTTTTGTTGCAATTTGCTTTCGTGACCCAAATGGGGTTTGCCAAAAGAATAAAAAAAAAGTAGGGCATCATCGTTTTCTTGGGGATGTAGTGGTTGATATCACAAATAAAGGTGGCTTTTTTTTTTTTTTTTTTTTTTTTTTTTTGTGCTAAAGCATTCTGCATTAAATACTACCGGTGAAGCCACGGTTGAGCCGTTGAGGTCATATATTTAGGTTGGCAAACATGCATATGGTGGTTTTCAAATAAAGTTATACCAATATCCACCATTGTATCAAGTCACGTTTAATTTCGGGATTGTTATTCCACCCTCAATAATAGTGTCAATTAAATCCGAGATTGCATTGTATCCTGAGATTGTTATCCCTTATTCCGCCAATCGTAATATGTGCAAAAAAAACAACTATAGATAGAGTTGGAATACAGTTCAGAATTCTCTTAATTCAAAATCCAAGGTGTTTAAATTGTTGAATCTGCCCATAACTTGGTGTGTGCAGCATGATTAAGATCATTCTAATTAGGAGAAATGCTTATGGTGAAAGTACTAAATTGGGGAATGAATACTTCGGTAGAAATTTCTTTTTTTGCATTACTTGGTATTTGGACGGATTGGGTCAAATTAAATATAGGCTAAGTAATTGGTCATATTAACCCTAACCAAGTTTTAATTTTTTTTTCCTTATAACTCGTTTAGTTATATATATATATATATATATATATATTCGTTATTATGGTTATGTGTAGCATATCAAACTTTTAAAAAAAAAATATTTTGATAAGTTTACTAATGGATCAAATTGAGCTGCATATTTCACCCAAATCAGCTCAACCTTTAGATGGGATGACTTAGCAAGTGTTCGTACATAAATTTGGTTGAAACTTGAAAGAAGAGTTTTCGAAATTGTGTTGAAAAATAACTTTTGGAAGTTAAAGTTTTTGGACATGCATTTTATTTGAAGAAAAAAAGGAAATTTTGTAAGAGAAAAAAAAATTACAACCAAAAACTGATTTAGGGCAGTTTTTGAGAAAATTAAAAATCCAATCATATTCCATGAACAAATAATATTTTTTAATTTTTTTTTTGGAAAATATAGTCAAAATCTATAGTCAAATGGATGTTTGAACTGTACATAAATTAACCCGCCTTGGAAATATGAGTAGGTTGGGCGGGTCATATTTTTATGAGTTAATTTTGTCACCCGTAGAATTAAAAGATTCCTTCAACAAATCTTAGCTTAGTAAGGTAAGTGATCTAATTTGTTCACATTTATTATGAAGGAAATACTTAGGCAAACTAATTTCTCGCGAATTATTTAGAGCTACAATTGCATTTCTTCTTTCTGTCTTTCATCATTAACTGTTATGACGCGCGGTTACATTCCAATTTCGATAAATTTTGTATTATCATGTTTCAGATGTCAGATAACGTGATGATTTATGTCGATTTAATTTTTTTATATATAGTTTAATAGTAATTATCACATCTCAGTTGATAATTGCTCGTGTTTGTATAGTTTATTGAAGTATTTCATTTGCGGAGAACAAAAAAAAAAAAAAAAAAAGGGATTCGTGGATCTCGTTGAGTACAGTTTATTGTCCAGGTGGTTATCAAAAGAAGAAAATAAAATTTACGCATGTTTTTATAGTTTATTGAACTAATCTCAAATAATCCTTTGGCCCCAGAAACCATTAACTTTGATATAATTGCCAACAGTTAGTTTAATAATTACTTATAAATCTAATATTCTTTTTTTTTTTTTTACGCTGGCTTCACGTATAAATATTCCAAAACAAGTTTTACTAGGGGGAAAAAAAGGAACCGGAAAAGGGCCAAGACTACCCCTATCATTTGCTAATTGGTTTATAAATACCCTCCATCCATCTATTCGTCCAAAAACATATACGACGTTAATTCTATTAACAAAAATATCCCCGCGACTAGCGGCAGAATTGGTGAGTCTTTCATTTAATGACGTGGCAATTTTTAAGTAGGCCACGTGGCAACCTTTGACTGGAACAAAAATTGGATATTATTTCAACCCATTTACCTTATTCGACCCATTTACAGAAATGGGTGGTATCTCACACCCATTCCCACTCATCTGACCTCCCCCTTTCTCTTCTCCAATAATAAACCCAATCTTTGGGAAATGAACATGCCAAGAACTCCTGCAGCAGTGAAGGACACGGGATTTTGGTCTTTAGGCAGGACACACATATGATGATGGAGTTAATCTTGATGTAAATGGAAATTGAAACGTATCACATACATCTCTAGCACAACTGAAGGGCAAAGATACATACACACGTAGAGAACATACTATTCTTTGCAAATATGTCTGTAAACAATCTCCCAGAAAATTGCGCTGTTTTTCTTTACTTTTTCAATTCACAAACACACAGAGAACATACTTTTCTATACAAAATTTGCCTGTAACAATCTCCCAGAAATTGTGATACTGTATCCTTTTGTCTCTTGGATGAACAAAGAAATATATGTCTAAAAAAATCAAAGAAGATATCAGAAATGTTAGACCCTCCCCATTATCTATGTTTTCTCTCACTTTTGCAACAAAATCACATAGAAAGAGATAGCATAAGCATAAAAAATGGCAGTATTGACAAAAATGGCTTCTTGATTCTTGGTCCGACCAAAAACTCAAACCCAGCTTCAATCCAAACTCAAAATGTAACCACAAGCTCGTCTCAACAATCCGAACAAACCCAAGAAACCAATTTGAACAATCGCCCACAGAATCGAAGGAACCCAATTCGTCTTCTACGTCGAGAACCCGTTCAAAAAATTTCAACTCAAAACCCTAGAAAATCACTCAAATCGATCCTAATCCTTCAGATTCGGCTTCAAAATGATGTTTCCAACTAGAATCATGAACATCCAATCGAATTTGAAGCCCTAATTTTCAGATTTCAAACGAAACTTAGCTTCTTCGTTGACCTCGGCACAGACGGGTTTCAATTGTGGCCTCAAATTCAATCTTACTTCTTCGAATTGAAGCCCCAAATCAGTAGTTCAAACTTAGATGATGAATAAATCACAAAATTTAGAACCAAAATCGAATGGAGAGCAAAGAATTGAACTTTTAGGAACAAATAGTGAAAAGCAATAGATACGATTTGCTCATTAGGACACTGATGAACAGTAATTTTGCTAAGCCCAGCACGGAAAAATGGGTAAATGGGTCGGACCAGGTAAATGGGTAAAAAATAAGACCCATATTTGATTCTTGGTTAAAGATTGCCACGTGACCCAGTTAAAAATTGCCACGCCATTAAATGAAAGACCCACCAATTCTGCCGTTAGTCGCGGGGGTATTTTTGTTAATAGAATTAACGTCGTATATTTTTTTGGACGGATAGATGGACGGAAAGTATTTATAAACCATTTAGCAAACGATAGGGATAGTTTAGACACTTTTTCAAAAAAAGAAAAGGTTTATTTGAACAGCCAGACAGAGTTTACAGAAACTATCATATGACAATGGAGAGTACATATCTTGTTATATCCAATCCAAAAAATGTGGTGGACGACTGGACGTGACATGTTGAGGACATCTGGCAAATGGCAAGGTTGCGTTAATAATATGACCAAAATGGCATCTAATTCTCCAGACCACAGATATGTTACCACTTTGGCGAAGGATGCATGAATACATATGAACGAAATTGATATCCAAGTCTTGAGATGACAGCTCGGTTAGCACTTATTTACTTACCATTAAGAGAGTACTAAGTAATATAATCCCCATAAGCGCATGCACCATTCTTACTCCTGTTGAACGATTGCGGGTTATTAATATTATAAGGTTGTTGTATTGTATTTATTTGTACTGTATTGTTATTGAGTTGATGTTGGATTTTGTTATTAATAACAAAAGAGGTGTGAATGGAAAATGGTGGGAAAAGAAATGGAGGAAAGTGAAATTTTGAATTAGTTCACTTTACTAATGCACTTAGCCCCTCATTGGAAGAAGGAAAGAAAATCTTTGTGTATATATAGAGATGCTCATCTTTTAGCTCTTAAAGAGTTAAGAAGAAGTGGTGCCTCGCGCCGTCGTCGTCGCTCGACTTCGGCTTCGGCTTCGGCCAATTGATATGATTGAGTGATAATTTTTTGGACCAAATTTATTTTCCTTTCCCATCATTTAACATTTTCTTTTCTAAATATTTTTAACGTTGAAAGATCGCGGAATCATTTTCGCGCGTTGGAAGACCACGGAATCATTTTCGCGCGTTGGAAGATCGCAGAATTATTTTCGCGACCAACAGCCGAATAAACACCAAAACGTTCCATTCAATAGCTAAATAGACACCTTATCAACGAACATGCACCTTTGCACCTGTTGGGACTCAACTTTGTTGGCTATAAATAGAGAGGCTTAGCCTTATTTTCCACCACCGAAAAATCTGAAATCTCTCCCCTCAATCTTCTGCATTCTGTAATGGTTTTTAGAAAACAAAACATAAGCATTTTGTGTGATTTGCTCCGCCATTTGGGTTCGCCGAAATTCTATGATTTGAAGTGCCGCTATCACAGAATAGTTATTTCGTTCTATCCTGGGAGGAATTAATCCGCAACCTTGGGAATTGTGAGGGGATTAAATTCCTTAAGGAAACACAAGAAACTTGTGGGCTCGGAATTTTTTTTTCTGCTTTGTTTTTAAACTAACGTTCGTTGATTTACTGGTTTTGAATACAGACTGCTAACAAGTTTAAGGAATTTAATATTCTGTATTCATTTTACTTTCTGGTTTGGGAGACTAAAATCGTACTGATTTTCTACTCCTGTTCTGGAGATTAAAATCTTCGGATTTTCTACTCCAGTTTGAGATTAAAAGTCTTGGTGACTTTCTACTCAATCCGAGATATAAAAACTGGGTTGTTTGTATTCGGTTTGAAGATATAAAAACTTCGCTGAGATACTAATTTTTTTTGTGTCAATTTCTTTTACAGAAAAATGACAACAAGTACGGAACACCAAAATGGTTCTGTTGGAACGACTACTGCTGCAATGGCTACGGCGTCTTCAAGTCGCACAACGCCTGGACCGGCGATGGCACCGGCAGAAAAGCCCGAAAAATTTTTCGGCATGGACTTCAAACGCTGGCAGCAGAAAATGTTCTTCTACCTGACCACTCTCAGTCTGCAGCGTTTTATAAGCGAGGACGTTCCAGTCTTGGGAGAAGAGACTCCGGATAATGAGCAATTTGTGGTCACGGATGCATGGAAGCATCGTGACTTCTTGTGCAAAAATTATATATTGAGTTGTTTGGAAGATGGCTTGTACAACGTTTACAGTGTCATGGAGACTTCGGAAGAGTTGTGGAACGCTCTTGAAATGAAGTACAAAAGGGAAGATGCTGGACCAAAGAAATTTGTTGCCGCAAAATTCTTGGACTTTAAAATGGTTGACAGTAAGTCAGTCATAACTCAAGTTCAAGAATTACAAGTTATCGTTCATGACCTCCTTGCCGAAGGTATAAATCGAATTAATATTTTTATTAAAGATATTGATTATATTATTAATCCTGAATTTATGATTGCGGGTATGGTCATAAATGAAGCGTTTCAAGTTGCGACATTTATTGAAAAGTTGCCTCCGATGTGGAAAGACTTTAACAATTACTTGAAACATAGGCGCAAGGAGATGACGCTTGAAGACCCTATTGTTCGCCTAAGGATTGAAGAGGACAACAAGGCTGCAGAAAAGAAGTCTCGTGGAAATTCAACAATTATTGGTGCAAATATTGTTGAGGAAGCTTTAACGAGTAAAAAGAGAAAGAAGCCGTCTGGACCAAGGAATTACCCAAGCAAGAAGAAGTTCAATGGTAATTGCCACAACTGTGGAAAGGTTGGACACAAGGCTGCTGAATGTCGTGCACCAAAGAAGGACAAGAAGAAAAGTCAAGCTAACATGATTGAGAAGAATGATGAAATAGACGATTTGTGGGACATGGTTTCAGAATGCAACCTAGTCGGAAATCCTAGAGAATGGTGGATGGATTCGGGGGAAACTCGTCATGTTTGTGCTAACAAGGAGTTGTTTACTTCTTATGCTCCCGCTGGACCCAAAGAGACAGTTTTTATGGCAAATTCCGCTACTACAAAAATTGAAGGAACGGGCAAGATAGCTTTAAAGATGACTTCTAGCAAGATTGTGACTCTAAATGATGGAAATGCGGAAGAATTTAGTCTCGATATCACTTAGTCAAGAATGGCTTTAAGTGTGCTTTTTTTCCGACAAGGTTGTAGTTAGTAAGAATGAAATGTATGTAGGAAAAGGTTACCTGACTGATGACCTTTTCAAACTCAATGTAATTGCCATTGATATGAATAAAATTTCAGCTTCTTCTTACTTGTTTGAGTCAAATAATTTATGGCATGAATGTTTAGGCCACGCCAACTTCAAAACTTTGCGAAAAATAATTAATTTGGAAGTATTGCCTAAGTTTGAATGCAATAACTTGAAATGTGAAAAATGTGTGGAATCAAAGTATGTTAAGCATCCTTATAATTCAGTTGAAAGGAATTCAAATCCTTTAGACTTAATTCACATAGATATTTGCGACATGAAGTCAATACCATCTCGCGGTGCGAAAAAGTATTTCATAACTTTCATTGATGACAATACTAGATATTGCTATATTTACTTACTTAATAGTAAAGGTGAAGCAATTGATGCATTCAAGAAATACAAAAATGAAGTTGAAACGCAACTAAACAAAAATATCAAAATGATAAGAAGTGATAGGGGCGGCGAATATGAATCTCCTTTTGAAGAAATATGTTTGGAAAATGGCATTATTCACCAAACAGCTGCCCCTTACTCACCGCAATCTAACGGAATTGCGGAAAGAAAGAATAGAACGTTAAAGGAGATGATGAATACCTTGTTAATAAGTTCTGGCTTACCTCAGAACTTGTGGGGGGGGGGGGGGGGAGCTATTCTTACAGCTAACCGAATACTGAATCGGGTTACCCATAGCAAAACGCAATCCATTCCATATGAAAAATGGAATGGAAGGAAACCCAACTTAAAATATTTTAAGGTGTGGGGGTGTTTGGCTAAAGTGCAAGTTCCTAAACCCAAAAGGGTTTACATTGGACTAAAAACTGTTGATTGCATTTTCGTAGGATATGCAACAAATAGTAAGGCATATCGTTTTCTGTTTCATACATCGGAAAATCCCGACATTCATATTAATACTGTAATTGAATCGAATAATGTTGAATTCTTTGAGAGTGTTTATCCATATAAAATGGAATGTGAGTCGTCTAATGAAAAATTTAAGCGACCTCGGGAAGAAGCAAAGGAAAGTACGTTTGATAAGGAAAATCCAAGACGTAGTAAACGTCAAAGGACAGTTACTTCCTTTGGACCAGATTTTCTGGCATTCTTATTGGAAAATGAGCCTCAAACGTTCAAAGAAGCAATGTCTTCCTCGGAAGCACAATATTGAAAAGAGGCAGTCAATAGTGAGATAGAATCCATATTAAGTAATCACACTTGGGAATCGGTTGATCTTCCTCCGGAAAATAAACCTTTGGATTCTAAATGTATTTTCAAGAGGAAAATGAGATCTGACGGTACTATTGATAAATTTAAGGCAAGATTAGTTGTTAAAGGGTTTAGACAACAAGAAGGTCTTGATTACTTTAACACATACTCACCGGTAACAAGGATTACATCTATCCGGGTGTTAATAGCGTTAGCCGCCATGTATGACCTTCAAATCCATCAGATGGATGTAAAGACAACCTTCTTAAATGGAGATTTAGAGGAAGAAATCTATATGGAACAACCTGAAGGGTTTGCTGTTCCCGAAAAATAAAAGAAGGTGTGTCGACTTGTTAAGTCACTTTACGGACTAAAACAAGCACCAAAACAATGACATGCGAAATTTGACCAAACAATGTTGTCAAATGGTTTAAAGATCAATGAGTGGGACTACGGCCGAGGACAAGTCACTATGGAGGTAACTCTACCTAGAAGACTGGAGATCCCAAGATCTAGGTTCAAGGAGATCAAACAAAGTCATTAGTGACGGTTCAACATTGTGAAATAAAATTTTGGTCCATTCTCATGATGAAGACAATGTTTAGTACCAAAGATAAAGCGTTAGGGATTTTTAATGGTTTCTAAGTTTGTTACGGGATATATCAAATAGTGTATCTACGGGATAACACATTTAGGAATCACCTATATGAGTGCGAAGTGTAAGCCGCTTCAAGGAGAATGTTGTAAGGCCAGTTCTCTATGCACTTATGAAATCGGGCGGTGTTAATGGATGAAACGAACACAACAATGAGAACCAAAGACGGTTAAAGGTTGATTGTGTGACATATGGTTGTCTATGTATACACCAAAGTTCGACGGTTCAAAGATTTCAAAGCTACCGATTGATCGAGTATATCCGACATATGTTCACTACGGAAAGTTCAAAGGGAAACCTACATATCCAGATGCGATTAATCCTTGCTTACGAATCACACATAGTTTTTCATGCATATTTGTTTCGGATAGCCATTCCCAATTCATGTGGGGGATTGTTGGGTTTTGTTATTAATAACAAAAGAGGTGTGTATGGAAAATGATGGGAAAAGAAATGGAGGAAAATAAAATTTTGAATTAGTTCACTTTACTAATGCACTTTGTCCCTCATTGGAAGAAGGAAAGAAAATCTTTGTGTATATATAGAGAAGCTTATCTTCTAGCTCTTAAAGAGTTGAGAAGAAGTGGTGCCTCGCGACGTCGTCGTCGTCGCTCGCTCGGCTCAGATTTGGCTTCGGCTTCAGATTCGGATTCTGATTCGGATTTGGATTTGGTCAATTGATATGATTGATAGATAATTTTTTGGACCAAATTTATTTTCCTTTTCCATCATTTAACATTTTCATTTTTAAATATTTTTCGCGTTGGAAGATCGCCGAATCATTTTCGCACGTTGGAAGATCGCGGAATTATTTTCGCGACCAACGACTGAATAAAGACCAAAACGTTCCATTCAGTAGCTGAATAGACACCTTATCAATGAATAGACACCTTTGCACCTGTTGGGACTCAACTTTGTTGGCTATAAATAGAGAGGCTTAGCCTCATTTTCCACCACCGAAAAATCTGAAATCTCTCCCCTCTATCTTCTTCATTCCGCATTGGTTTTTCAAAAAAAAAAACGTAAGCATTTTGTGTGATTTGCTCCGCCATTTGAGTTTGCCGAAATTCTGTGATTTGAAGTGCCGCTATCACAGATTAGTTATTCCGCTCTATCCTGAGAGGAATTAATCCGCAACCTTGGGCATTGTGAAGGGATTAAATTCCTTAAGGAAACACAAGAAACTTGTGGGCTCGGATTTTTTTCTACTTTGTTATTAACTCGAAACAGAGAGGAATAGTAGTATAAAGCCCCTAAGGGTCCAAACAGCTTGGCACGAGGCCCAAATATGACATTCAGCCCAAAACATAGTAATACTTTCCAAAACAAATAAGTATCAAATAGTTTGCAGTCAAATACGCAACTTAATAGTTGCTACAAGATGGACCAAGTCACAATCCCCAACGGTGCACGCCCTCACGCTCGTCATCTAGCATGCGCGTCAGCTCAAAATAGTGAAACGATGTGAAATCTGGGGTTTCATACCCTTAGGACAAGATTTACAATCATTACTTACCTCAAATTTGACAAAACTCTAACCCGTGATGCTCTTGCCTCTCGACTCGGTCTCCAAATGCTCCGAATCTGACAAAAATCAGTATATCATCATCAATATATGTTAAAGGAATGAATTCCACACGAAAATAATCAAATTAGACCAAAAATCCCGAATTGGACTCAAATCAGTCCCCCGGGCCCACGTCTCGGTATCCGATAAAAATTACAAAGATAGAAACTCCTCTCACTCACGAGTCTATACATACCAAAACCATCAAAATCCGACGTCGAATGACCCCTCAAATCCTCAAATTAAACTCTCAAATTTCAAGCCCTAATTCCCCAAATTCATCCCTAATTTTCCACAAATTTCATGATTAAACAATGGGAAATCATCACATATACAAGTATTAGGGCTCAAGACACTCACCTTGCTGATAAACCCTTGAATTCCTCCTCAAAATTGCCTTCAAAAGCTCCAATGCTGTCCAAAAATGGTGGAATATGAACTTAAATTCGCGAAGGAGATCTTATATATCTTCTGCCCAGAACTTCCGCATCTCCGGTCCATAAGTCGCTCCTGCGATGCCGCACCTGCAGAAAATCCATCGCAGGTGCGGTTTTCACTTAAACCTTGAAAACCGTTTTTGCGGTCGAAACCCCGCATCTGCAATCACGCAGGTGCGGTCCCATGCGCGCACCTGCGGCTCCTGCCCTTCTCACCTATGGCCGCATCTGCGGCTGCTTATGCGCTTCTGCGTGCCTCGCACCTGCGGTCCCCACTCCGCAGGTGCGGTTATGACAACTGAAGACAATCTTCAACACTTCCTCAAATCCCATCCTTGATCCGTCAACCTCCCAAAATCATCCCGAGGCCCTCGGGACCTCAACCAAATAAGCCAACAAGTCACATATCACCATTCAAACTTATTCAAACCCTCGGAACACTCAAAACAACATCAAAACACCAAATCACCCTCGGATTCAAACCTAAGGATTTCCAAACTTCTGAATTCCGCAAACGATGCCGAAACCTATCAAACCTCACTTGAATGACCTGAAATTTTGAACACACGTCACAAATGACATAACGGACCTACTCCGATTTTCGAAATTCCATTCCGACCCCGATATCAAGATTTCCACTGCCGACCGAAAAATGCCAAATTTCCAATTTCGCCGATTGAAGCCTAATTCTACCTCGGACCTCCAAATTACATTCCGAACACTTCCCTAAGTCCAAAATCACCTAACGAAGCTATCTGAACCGTCAGAATTCACATCCCAGATCTTCTACACATAAGTCAACATCCAGTTGACTTTTTTTTTCCAACTTAAGTTTCTAAATAAGAGACTAAGTGTCTCATTCCACTCCAAGACTAGTCTGAACATAGAACAACCAACACGAAACGATGAAATACAGCTGAAAAACACATAAGGAAGCAGAAATGGGGGAAACGGGGCTGTAACTCATGAAACGACCGGCCGAGTCGTTACATCATCCCCCTCTTAAACAAACGTTTGTCCTCGAACGAGTCAAGAAACATACCTGAAGCCT